CGCGATTTTGAATCGAAAAATCGTGTGTCTGCGGGTCGTTGATAAAGACGTCGCCAAAGTCAAAGAGGTCGTCGTAGAGAATGCACGCTTGCGGGCCGATGCCGCGGCCCCGGATCTGCAGCGGCAAGCGCGTGTCGCGACCAGAGATGTCCAGAAACGCCGTGCCCGCATACGTGGCGGCGACGTGCGGGACAAAGGTCACGGTGATCTCTGCGTCCGAGTGCGCCCAGATCTTGCCGCTCGCGGGCTCGAGCGAGAAGCACTCGTCCACGAAATTCATTGGATCGTCGAGCACGGCCTTGCGCAGATTCTTGTACTTGCGGTGGAGAATGCCCATGAGATCGACGCGTTCGTCGTCACTGCAGTCGCCGAGATGCTCGACTTCGGAGGCTTCCATGCGCTTGAGTTCGTCCAAGAGCCGTGCGCGCTCAGTCTCTTCGCTCTTCTCGCCCGCGTAGGCCTTCCAGGAAAACTCGACCGGGTGGTCGCTGCCGTTGCAGATCTTGATGCGCTTGCGCGAGCTCAGCGTGAGGTACGCTGGCGTCGGCTCGACCATCGGGTGGCTCAAATACACTTCGAGGTTGGTCACGTCGCCAAGGAGCTTGACGTACGAGGCGCGGCCGCTGTCGTCCTGGATGGCGAGCTCGCCTTCGCGCTCTTTCGTGTGCTTGGGATGAAACTCCATTTCGACTTGGATCGCAGCCCCAATGTCCAAGTAGACCGTCTGGGGCGAGACGGTGAACGGCGCCGAGGCCGTCAAGACAAACTTGGCGCCACGAGTGCCGACGTTGTGGACGGTCATGACTTTGGAGCACTTGATTTTGACGGGGCACAGGCCGAAATCGACTTCGTCCGGAAAGCTCAAAGCGGCAAACGTGCCCCGGGCACGGACGGGCACGATGAACTTTTCGCGCTCGGTGACACAAATGAGGTCGAGCGCATACTCGCGCCGCTCCTGGGGCAGGAACTCGACCTGGTACGCCACTTCGATACCTGCTGCGACCTTGCCGTCGCGCTCGGCGCCATGCAGCTTTTTGATTTTGAAAAAAGGCGAGTCGGGCGCCTCGATCTTGATGCGGCGCGCGACCGTGTCGTTGTTGCGCAGAGCGAGCTTGGCGTAGTGCGTATTAAACGGAATGTACTCGTCAAAGAGAATTGCACCCGGGTTCGGCTCAAACAGCGGGCGGTCCACGGGCACGGTCGAGGCGCTCTGCGACGAGTGGTCTTCGAGGTTCATAAACTAGCAGCGAATGCGATGATCCTCTGTCTCCATAGATGCAAAGCAGTGCAACATACCTCGATGATGCGCGGGATCGAGCCCTTGGAGCCCTTGGCGTTCTTGGACGTGAGCTCGTGCAGGAGCTGGCTCGGGCGCTACGAGGCCCAAGTCGTTAGCGTAGCCAGCCACGCATGGTCTACCAGCTTCTCGGTCGCATCGGTCGTGGGTCGACCCCACATGGGCAGCTGAGAGAGCGCCACGGAGGATCCGCGGTGGTCGGCGGCCATCGAGTTGCCACGCACGACGCTTCGCGAGGAACGAACTGTCGCTTCGGTATCTTTGGTGGTACCACTGTGGCACATGCCGCGTTTAAAATAGTAGTTTCGGCACGCGGTGCCACATTTCGACAAGTTGAAGTAAGCCGCATCCGCCAATCACGCGCCGCCAGCGTGAACCACAGCTGCGACACCACGGCGCTGGCGTCGGCGGAGGATCGTGGACCATGGCCCGAGCGGTGGGCCTCGCCGTAGCATAGGACCTACGAAGATGCGATCGATCAACCTCGGTTCAACCGCGGGTCGTTGTCCTTGGGACGTACTACCGGTATGAGTAGGAGCAAGCGTAGCCGGTTGGCAGCCCTATCCGGTTAACACGTTTTTAACCGAATGGCGAAGATCGTGGGTGCAAGGAATCTACCTTCGCATCCTCATCTCGCCTTTGCTGTCGCCAGTAGCAGTCGCACGCATGGCCTCGACGCGCGGGCAGAAGGTCGCTGTCTTCTTCCTTACCTTCTTCAGCTATGTCATGTTCCACGTCTCGCGCAAGTCCTTCTCGGCCGTGAAGGGCGAGATGAGCAAGGAAGAGTGGATGGACTCGATCTTCTACGTCAAGTCGGAGCAAGGCAAGATGTATGGCCTCATGGACACGCTCTTCATGGGCTTCTACGCAGTGGGCCTCTACGTCAGGTACGCTTCTGCACTGCTTCTTGGGCATGCGACGTATATGT